TGGCCATGCTCTGTCTCCAGGGCTCCTTGGGCCAGGATCTCTGAGTCAGAACCCAAGCGCCTGTGTCCAGGACAGAAACATCTTCACCCCGTAGAGTCACACATCCTGATTTTGTGGTTTCTTTCGCGTCCTTTTTGACGACTGAGTAGTATTCCACAGTACCAGCGAGATCCCTGTGCCCTTCAGCCATGGGGTGCCGTGCACTGCACGGTGGGCTCTGCCTGGGCTGCGGGGTGGCACTGGCGTGGACTCGTCCCCTTGGGCTCTGCCGGTGCTGTGTTCCTCAGGCCAAAGGCCCGGGCGTGCAGGTGCTGGGCCCTCTGCACGTGGTGTACTTGCCCTGTGTGCGACACCAGCTTGGGAGGACAGAGCCAGGCCCCTCCGCACCCAGCGGGCCATGTGGGTGTCCAGAGGGTGCGGCACCCCTGGTGCACCTCGCGGAGCTGGGGGAGGGGTCTGGACGTGGGTGCAGCTGAAGCAGTGGGAGCAGCGTGTGGAGAGGTTGGACTGATTCCATCCGTACCCCCGCCCGCCTGCGCCTTCCACCCCTCCTCCCATCTCGCGTGTACTCATTCACTCCCTCCTCTGTCACCCACCGGTCTTTCCTCCCGTCTGTATCCAGTCTTTGTCCATTTATCTGTCCTCCATCCTTCCGTTCTGTCCACTTGTCCTTCATTCGTCCACCCATCCGTGTGTCCATCCTGTCTCCTGTCCATCTTTCCACCCATCCATCCACCTACCCACCCATCATCTTTTCTTTCCTTTTGAGCCAGGGTCTCATTGTGTAGTTGAGACTGACCTGGAACTCACTATAGAGCCCAGGCTGGTCTCAAACTCACAGCGATCCTCCCGCCTCAGCCTCCTGAGTGCTGGGATTATAGGCGTGTGCCACCACGCCCGGCTCATCCATCTTTTCATCCACCCATCTGTCCATCCTCCTTCCCCTCTGTCCACCCCCCACTACCACCCTGGGCACTGTCGTTTCCTTCAGCTCTCTGTCCTCACTACTCCTCTCACCCACTTGTCCCTCTGATCCTCTGTGGTCATCCCTGAGGAGGACCCGGCCAGGTGGGTGGCTGTTGACAGGTGTGTGCTGGCCCTGGGCCCTGGTGAGCAGGACTCCTGTGTGACCCCGTGTCCACTGTCTCTTGGGCCCTGGCGCCTGCACGCAGAAGGTGGCTGAGCTGGGGCAGAGCCCTGGACATGCGGTGGCTCTCTGTGCATGGGCTGGTCGTGCTCCTGCAGCGGCACCCCAGGTGGTCTCTGAGCCTGGTGACCTCGTCCTCTTGGGAGAATCTGCACAGGTCGAGCTGGGGACCCGGCTCCTCCTCAGGGACTGACGGGCTTCCTGCCGGGGTGATGGCAGATGCGGTACCTCTGGAGCCCTGGCTCTTAGAGACCTCTCACCCAAGCCCCACACCTGAAGGCTGCCTGCTCTGTTCTCAGCAGGACACAGCTGAGGGGACTTCTTACCGTAGGGCCCACACCTCCCCATGCCCTTGGCCTCCACCAGCTGCCCTTGGCCCCTCGGAGCCTTTGCACGGCTGCCCCTGCCACCTGGAACCCTGTTTCCAGGGCTGCTTGCTCCGCTCTTCTCCAGGTGACACCCAGTGTTATCCATGAGGCCACCATGGCCTCTGCCCCCCCGGTTTCCAGACCACTGTCCTCCTTCTGCTTTGCCGTGGTGCTGCCACTTTCTGCCACCCCAAGTCACTCCCGCCCCGCTCGCTGGGACTTGGCCCCGAGGATGGGGCCTTGGGTGTCCCTTGCCCCGTGTTCTCAGCGTGGGCCACATAGCACGTGCCTCTAACATGGCTGACGGCACTAGGCTGCCATAGTGAGGTGCGGGGCCTTTGCGGGCCTCAGGCTGCCCCAAGGGCCGGGCTCTGCAGTGCTCTTGGGGTGGCTTCCAACACTTGTCATGGTCCCCGAACTACAGCACGCCAGAGAGCGAAGGTGAGGCGTGGCCAGCCAGTTGCGCATGGGCAGCTGTGTCTCTCTTCCTCCCACCTGGTCAGGCTGCCTGGGGATTTGTCCTGCAAACATTGATTAGGTGCATGTGTACCAGGCTCTGGGGACGATGGCTCAGGTGTCTATCCAGCACCTGCCTCCGGCTGGAGCAGGGCCCCACTGTGTCTTGGCTTCGCCTTCCTTGGAAGCAAGGATTTGCAGGGTCCTCCCTGCGGCTGCTGGGCACAGCACACCTGTCTCGCATGGGCACCGTGGCTCCCCGCGGCGACTGCCGCTGCCATCACACTGCAGGCTTGAAGCTGGCTGCTCTCTGTGTGGCGATCGGTGGGCTGCATCCTGTGGGCACCAGGGTGAGGCTGTGCCTGGCCACAGTGGGCCCCCTGGGTGCCAGGACCTGGACTGGGGCTGGCGTGTGCGGGGGCCAGGGGTTGGGGACCACCGTCCTGTCCGCCTGGGCTCAGTGCGTTCGCCGAATGCCTGCCCGCTGTTTCCCTGGGCTGAGCAGGCCCTGCAGGCCCTGCAGGCCCCGCCCTGCACTGTGGGAGCCGTGCTCCGGGCTGTGTGGCTGCAGCGTCCCTGTGGCCAGCTCTTCCCAAGGCCAGTAGCTGTCTCCTCCGCACCTTCATGCAGTCTGGCCCCTTCCCTCTCTCCATCCGCACTGCCGGATCCAGCCAGGCCCAGTCCTGGCTTGGACATGGCAGGAGCCCTCCCTGACTCTGGTCCCCTCTTGTTCCCTGCGGGCCCTGCTGTGAAACACTAACCCTCAAGCACAACGGCTCCCCATTGCCCCAGCGGAGAGTCCATCCTGGGGCCTAGGGCCCTCGGGTGACCTCCCCACACCGTCTCAGTGTTCTCTCCCTGGGCTTTTCTCCCCTGAGCACTCTTCCCTCCTCATTTCTCTGACTCACCTGTCCGTGCTCCGGAAGTCCTTCCTGATGTTCCTTCTCCGCTCCCTGGTGCTGTCTGCTGCCCTCTGTCCACCCTGGGCCTTGCACTGAGTCCCCTGCACCCGGTGCCGAGCCCACCTGTCAGAGTGAGGCTGACCACCTTGTCCCGACCCCAGAGCAGTCGGGCCTTGGGGAGGCCATGTGGACCCTGGAGACCCCTGGGGCTTTGAGGGTACTTGGCTGGGTTTCCCCTGGGTGCTGGCCCCTCTCAGCCCCTGCTGATGAAAGCCAGCGCCTCTGTCCCTCCTGCTCCCCACCCCGCCCATGTGGCATCCTGTGCTGGCCACTCCCTGCGTCCCTTCCCCGGCCGACCCGGCCCCTGCCATGGTGGGTGCTGCAGCTCCTCTGGACCCCTGCCCGTGCCTGCGCTGGAGTCCTGGCTTCCGTTCCCCAGGCGTAGGAGTGGAATTGCCGCTGGGCTCTACAGTGATTAATTCTAGGTTGAAATTTCTGAGGAGCTGCCAGACTGTTCTCCTTCACGCTTGAGGCTGGCAGGGTTGGAGATGGGGTTTGCTGAGCTTCTGGCTGTGTGAGTTAGGGATCTTCGGGACTGCCCTCCATGTGGGGACCCTGGCCGGGCTGGTGGGGACCTCTGGGTGACTCGAGACACAGGATGGGGCTGAGGATCACAGGACAGGCCTCTCTGTGGGGACCCTGAGGGACGGGGCACTAGTACCCCCCACTGGGGACTGGGCAGGCTTGCCCGGCTCGGTGGTGGAGGGGCACAGGTGCGACGGCACGTTGCCACGGGGTCTGGCTCTGCGGCTCAGTGTTTGAAGTGTCACCTGGGTGACACCTGCTTTCCCTGTATTCCTCGATGCCAGGTGACAGAAGCCAAGCATGGGCCGTGGACTAGCTGCCATCAGGCCATGGCTGCCCACTCCTGCCCCTCAGCCCTGCCATTCTCCCATGGGCGTTGTTCTCGGGCATCTTTAGCCCTAGGAGCTCCAAGCTTCCTTTCTTCAGCTCCCATCCTTCCAGGCCACAACTGGTCCCAGGTTCTTCCATCTGGGTCTGGGACTCACTCTCATTGGCTGGGATTGGGTCACATGCACACTCCTCAACCAATCGCTAGCTTTGGGGTGCAGGAGTCTGATTAGCCAGGTCTGGAGCATGTGATCATTCTTGGAGCCTGGGCAGCAAAGTCAGGACCACACTGGTCCAAGGTGAGGTGGGAGTAGGATGCAGTCAGGCTGTGAGATGCCCTTGTCTGGATGACAAGGGTCTCGTTGCTCCTCTGTGGCTGTAGTGATCTTAATTTTCTCTCCCAGCATTCTTCCACCTAAGACCACCAAGGGGGAAGGTTGCCAGGGCGCCTGCAACCTTGGAGAGCTCAGGGCAGGGCAGGGGTCGTTAGGATGGGTTGCAGGGAGCTGGGCTGTTCTCTTCCCCTCCTTGCCCTGACCCCTTGTGATGCAGCCCAGCCCTCCCTCCCATGGCCACCTCCAGAGGCTGGGCCCTGCGCCCCCTTGGGTTTTCCCTGCCTTGAGTGGCATGTGGTAGGGGAGCAGGGATCTGGGGCAGCAGAGGAAGGAAGTAGAAGGGCCCTCGGGCGTCCCCAGGTCTCTAGGCAGAGCAGCACCCCTGGCTCCCTTGGCTTCTGCCATGTGGGTCTCCAGCGAGGCCGTGGCCACCCCTCTCTGGGGACAGCACCCCTGCCTGTCGTCCTGCCTTCACTGTCCCCTGACCCCGTGTCCTCCTGGTCACCCTCGCGTCATCCCGCCCTGGCTCTGTCCGGGTCATACCGTGTGTGACCTGTAGCCTGCCTGGGCTGACCTGGCTATCGTAGTCGCTTGTGTGCGCCTCCCCCTCTGGTGGCCTCCAGGGCTGGGGCGGCAGCTGCCAGCCATTCCTGCCAGGGACTTTTGGAGAACTTTGCCCTGGAGCCACGGAAAGTCCCAGAGGCCATGCAGAGAGGCTGCCCGCCGAGGTGGGGCCGGGGCTGGAGCTGGAGCCTCCGGGCTTGGGTTCCGGTCCTGCGGGGCCAGCTCTTCCCTGACCAGACGGCTGCTCCCTGCCCCTGGTGTTGCCCAGGAGGGCTCCGGGCGGAGACCTGCATCTCATCCCCTGCTCTCTCTGCAGATGCCTGTGACGGGCCATCCCTGAGCGCAGACAGACCTCCTGCTGACCCTTGGTGGTGACCGAGACAGTGACCCGGAGCCAGCCCGGACCCAAGCGCCATGTCAGGATCCACACAGCCCGTGGCACAGACCTGGAGGGCCACAGAGCCCCGCTACCCGCCCCATGGCATCTCCTACCCAGTGCAGATCCGGTCCCACACGGTAAGGGGCATGCACTCAGTATGCTGGGGTCAGCTTGGGTACTCCCGCCTCCCAGTCCTCCTCTGAGCTGGGCTGGCGTGGCCACTGCATGGGTTGCTTGACAGGTAGTATCCTGGGTCTGGGCAATTAATAAAATTCTTGGCTCCCATTTTAAACCTAGAAGGTGAGCCAGGTGTGGTGGTGCATGCCTGGCCTCCCAGCTGCTCTGGAGGCTGAGGCAGGAGGATCGCTAATTGGAGCCTGGCCTGGGCAACTTGGCCGCTTGGCGAGACCCTCTCCTAAAATAGAGTCAGGATAGTGAGGCCATGCTGGGCCTGTTATGTGCCCCTGGCCTAGCCTGCGTCCTCCCTCTGCCCCATGTGCTGTTTCTTTTCCGCCTCCCTCCAAGCTGCGTGCCGTGTTGGGAGCTCTGTCTTCACTGGCCTTCTCTGCTGCCCGCTGCTGAGTGCCCCTGGGTGCTTCTTCCCCGCTGCTCAGTGAAAGGCGTGAGGCGTGGTGGTCACAGTGGGTGGGAGCTCACTGCTGGCCCCTGAGTGTGCCCGTGTGTGTACGTGCGTGCATGTGTGTCTCCCAGCTCGTGCTGCGGGCCTCCCCAGGGCCTGGTGGGTATTTCTGCCCCAGGCGGGGCATGTGCAGACTGGGCCCAGCCTGGGCCTCCTGCATCAGTGGCCTCTACAGCTTTGGGCCTTGGGGTGTTTCTCAGAGTCTCTGCCGTGCACGGACGTGTTCCATCATTGGCTGGAACCTCCCGTTGGCTAGACTGTGGGAGGCATGCGGCAGCCCACGGACGAGCGGGCTGAGGCAGGGAGGTTCCCTGAGCAGCCTTGGGTTAGGTCACTGATGAGGCTGTCCCCCAGGGCCCTGGGTCTCTGGCTCTTACTGAGCGCCTGTGTGCGCCCAGGGCTGAGGAAGGTGCCCTCAATGCTGCTGTCATCTTGTCACACCCATCACCACGGACACTAAGCTGTCCTCAGTCTTCCCCACTGCTGGTCGCTGTGGCCCCCTTTCTGTGCACAGCATCCAGGTCTCCTAAGGGCCGAGTTCTCACTGAGGCCCTTGGCACCGCTGTTGTGTCCTCTGCTGTGGCAGCTCCGGCACCTCCCTGGTGACTCTCTGGCCTTCCCGTCTCACTGTGCTCTGGCCCTTCTCCCACCTGCACCATGGGCCCCGCCTCGGGCAGCCCTGGGCTCCGCGGCCCTGCCCTTTGCCCCCACTGTGCCCTCTGCCAGGTGCTCGGGGGTCAGTCACACCTCCCACTGCTCTGTGGGCTGTCGGTGACGCAGGATGCGTTTGGACAGGACCCGCCCCCCCCCACGGCAGCCTGTGGGCGGTTTCTCGGGGGTGAGGTGCTGACGAGGAATAGAGAGAGAACCCCAAGTGCCACCTCCAGGCCTGCGGCCCCTCCTCAGTGCCCTGCACATGATGTGCTCTGAAAACGAGTCCCCAGGGTCCCTGGTGCCACCGAGTCACCGCTCCTGCCCGGCTGCCTCAGTTTCACCTCTGCTCCTTCTGCTGGCGTGTTGGAGGTGTTGGCTCTGGGCTGTGGGCCGTGGGCCGTGCTGTGCCCAGTGTGGCTGGGAGGTAGATGTGGGGAATGCTGCTCGTGGGAGCTAGACCCCCATACTCTGGAGAACCCTCCTTGCCTCAGCCTTCCTTAGGCTTGGTTTGATGTAGGGGCCACAGACCCTGCCTGGGTCTCCTTCTCTCCTCCCAGGAGATCGGGTTCCCAACTCTTTCCCAAGCCTCTCCCTGGATCGAGGGATCGGTAACGAAACCACCAGTTATGCTTTGGAGGAGCCCAGCACACTTCCCCTTCGGCTGTATCCCTCTTTGGCTAAGACCCGGCTGATTCTGGGACCCCGAGCTCTCCCTCCCCTCCTGTGTGGGGCTGAACGGATGTTGTCCAGAGTGGAGACACGGAGTTGGGGGTCCCTGAACCCCCTCCTGCAGGGAGGCCTCGGGAGGCTGCTGTGGCAGCTGGACAGGAGGCCTCGCCACCCTGGCCCTCGGTTCCGTGTCACCGAGTGTGAGAATGGGTGGATGAGGGGGCAGTTGTCCTTGTGATTACGAGGGTCACCTGTCATCAGAGCAGTGTGGCCCTGATGTCCTTCCTTGCTGCCCCGAGGGCCCAGCCTGGTGTTCCGGGCGCTGGAAGCAGGCTGTCCCTGCAGTGTCTCAGCTTTATGGACTGTGCTGTACCCCAGGGCATCTCAGCGGCCCCCAGAGTGGGCATGGCCCTGCGCCAGCAGCACTGGATGTCCCCTTGGCCTCGGCCTTGGGCCCTGGTGCTGACTCTGGGAAACATCCGCCCAGCTCCTTCCCAGGTCGCCAGCGCCATGAGGCCCCGTGGCAGATACCAGAGCTGGGGCAGCACTGCCCGGGCTGAGTGTAGGCCCAGGATGGAGTCGGGTGGATGCCCGCACAGGGAAACAGATGAGCCTGCTCTGTGCCAGGGCCGTGCACCGCCCAGGCCTCCTGGTGCCGCAGCTGGCAGCGGCAGCAAGCGGACGTCTGCCTGTTCTTGCTTTGCTCATTTTGCTCTTTCGACGAGAGCGGCGGGGAGAGGGCTCCTGCTGGCAGCCGGCTCAGCCTGCTGCTCTCCTCTCACACCTCGCCGCCCGCCCGCTGTGGAGGATCCGTGCCTGGCAGCCTGGCACGTCCCTGCCACATCCTCCTGCTTCCTGCCGGCTGTGGGCACTGGGGCCTTGTGTTAGACGCTGTGGGGGCTCCGCCTCCAGGGTGCCTGAGCATCAGAAGCAGGCGAGAGGCCGCTCCATCTGTGCCAGGTGTCAGGTTCAAAGCCAAGGACACTGAGCCTGAGGTCTGAGCACGGGGCCCAGCAGGTGCCTGCCCTGAGGCCCTGTGGCTTTCTGTCCCCGCCGTCCGGCTCCCCGCCTTCTCCACACATGTTCTGTTGGATCTGAAATGAATCTGTTCTCTTCACACCTACCTGGTGTCAGCTTGGTTCTTTTTGCAGAAGTAACTGCTTTCAAATAAAAAGCCAGACAACAAAAGAATGGCAAGATTTTTACAGAAAATTGGGGGAATTGTAGCTCTGAAAAAAAACAAACAAACAAAAAAACCAAACAGCAAAACACCAGGAATCGCTGCCAAGAGGAAACTTGAGTCATCTGCCATCCCACCTTCCCACAGCCGTGCCCGTGTCAGACATCACTAATCGCTTGCCCCACGCAGCAGAACTGCGTGTTCCAGACAGATAGAACTAATCAGCTGGGGCTGGTACACCAAGGGAACCAGTGTTAGGAGGCTTGTTTCTAGTTTTTAAAAAATATTTTCTCTGGGGCTGGGGATTTAGCACCTGACTCGCAAGCACAAGGACCCGAGTTCGATCTCTGGTACCAAAAAAAAAAAAAAAATTTTTTTTTTCTCTGAACACTTAACTATTTCTCAAGTCAGGTGTACCTGGCAACAGGGTCCACCTGGTTGAGTAGGGATGTGCTAGAGAACAGATCGTGCTGGTGTGCGGTAAAGCACGCCCTGGGGTCGAGATGGCAGAGCGGGGGCGGGTACCCCTGGGGCTCTGTGCTGAGCGCTCAGCTAGCGTGCGGGAGGCTGTGGCTTCCATCTCCAGGCTGCGGAGCCTAGACCAGAGGGGCCCTCGGGGTCTGTGCTGTAGTCGTAGGCCCGGCCGGATTCCTGCTGCAGCGAGGCAGGCGGCCCTGCGAGAGCGTCCAGGGCGCGGCGGAGCTCGTTCTGTAGGACAGACGAGTCCTCTGTGCCCACTCCTCGCTGCTTCCTCCCAGGACGTTGGGCTGCTCGAGTACCAGCACCACCCCCGGGACTACGCCTCACACCTGCCCCCCGGCTCCCTCATCCAGCCCCAGCGGCGGAGGCCCTCGCTGCTGTCCGAGTTCCAGCCTGGGAACGAGCGGTGAGTGAGCCCTGGAGTCCTCGTCATGTGGGGAAGCAGGCTGGGGGCCGGTGCTCACCAACCCTCCTTGGCTCCCGCTGACCTCTCTTCTGGCTGGTCGAGTGCACTGCCATCTGCCCTGGGGCCCAGCAGCCTTGCTCCCCGTCCAGGCAAGAGAAGGTCGAGCAGGGTGGGGATGGACGAGCTTCTACTGGGGACAGCTGAGATGTGGGCAGTGTGTCAGCCAGCTCCCGTTGTAGGATACGATATATGGTGCCCTGCTTAGAGGAGAGGGTCACCTGGCTCACGGTCTCAGAGGGTTTAGTCCGTGGACTCTGTCTCCAAGGCAGGGGCGTCATGGTGGAGAGACCTGGCAGAGCATCACTGAGGCGGGGGACAGGCCCCTGCTCTTGGAAGGAGCTGATGCGCGAGCAGTCTTGGCACAGTCCTGGCACAGGGAAAGGCCCTGGGGCAGGGGCAGGGACATAGTGTCAGGGCGTGGGCCACAGTGGGTGGCAAGGCCAGGTTTCACAGCAAGAGTGCCGTGATCGGCTAGTGATGTCTGCCCTGGTCAGTGGGCAGGAAATGGTGACACCCGACCATGTGTTTTAACATGCAGGTGGTCTGGTGGGTGGAGGTCCTGCCTTCTTCCTACCCATGTGGCTGCTCTCCGACCCCACCATCCCTGCCAGCACTGGCACCACCCCTTCCCGTCCCCGCCTCCATGCCCATCATTCGGGGCCCTGGCTTCCCGAGACAGTGTCCCCCATGTGACACCACCACGTCCTGGCCACCTGCAGGTCCCAGGAGCTGCACCTGAGGCCCGAGTCCCACTCGTACCTACCCGAGCTGGGCAAGGCTGACCTGGAGTTCATGGAGAGCAAGAGGCCACGCCTGGAGCTGATGCCTGACCCCCTGCTGCGCCCATCACCTCTACTGGCCACAGGCCAACCCGGAGCGTCTGAGGACCTCCCCAAGGTAGGCCTGGAGGGCGGGAGCGGGGAAGAGTGAGTGGAGGGTGTGCAAGTGATGTGCAGGGCAAGGTTCCCTCAGAGGGGCCAGGGGCCCGGGGAGGCTGTTCAGGTGACAGGTACACAGGCCCTGAGGTAGGACCAGTCCTGTGGGCATCTCTGCTGGCCAGAGGAGGAGCGGGCTGGGCACTGTAACCAGAGAGCTGGGGACCCACGGGTGTGGGTGGCCCTAGGCCCTGCTGTGGTGCATGCTGTGTGCTGGGTCAGGTCTGGGTCCCCGCTTGTGTGAACCTGGGCTGCAGTGGCCCCTCAAACTCTGCACAGCCCTGGCCATCTTGGGGCACCGCTGGCTTGTGGTGCTGAGGGGTGGGAGGACACTTTGGGGTCCTGTGGGGAGAAGGGACAGTGTAAGGCTGGTGCCAGGGGTGGTGCTCGGACGATGCTGTTTCCTGCTGCCCATATCCAGCTGCTCCTGAGGGCGGGTGGTCCTGGGCCATCTGTAGTCTGTGGCCTGAGGCCTGTGGCCATCCCTCCGGTGGCCGAGGACCCTCCCAGGTCTCCTCCTTCCTCTGTGCCCCACACAGCCCCTTTGTGGATTCCAGGTGTCTGCCATCCACACAGATGCCATCCACACACATCTGTCTATTATGTGCCCACCTACCTGGCCTCGCTGGTCCTGTGCTTCCAGCTTTGCTTGCCTTGACTATTGCAGTAGCTTCCTGTCCATCTCTGTGCTCTGGCCTTTCCTGTGACCCCTGTATCCTCTTTAAGACCACGGCCAGGCCATGCCTCTCTGGCCATACCTCTCACCATAGGCAGGAGAGCCAGCAATCTCAAGATGATCTGCAGGTCTGGCTTGATCCAGGTGCCCTGACCTCCTCTCTCTGCCCACCAGCACCCTGGCCCATTCCACTTCAGCCTTGCGGGCCTTCCTTGTGCTCCCTTGTGCCTGCCAAGCATTGTGCCCTCAGGTGGGCCACATCCTCCTTCCTGCCGGGCCTGATGGCTGAGACCTGTCACCCGTTTCCTCCAGGTGCTGTCCCCAAGACCCACTTGGCCCCATTCCTGGTCTACCCCTCTCCTGCCCTCCGCATGCCCCGTCTGCCCATTCTCCCTGGAGTCCTGGGTCCTACAAGTGAAGCCCTCCACATGGGCTGGCTGGTGGCTGCTTTCTGGAGGCCCCGCTGCCGGGACCCGGAGACCCTGAGCTCTCACTGCTGTGGCGCAAAGGAGAAATGGGCCCCGGGGTGTGGGAGGATGGAGTGATGCGGTTTGCTTCTGGGGATGGCGCTGCTGCCGGCTGGGTTCCCAGAGCGGCCGAGCCCTGGACCATGGCTCAGGAGTCTTCGCCCTGACAGCCAGCCACTCTGTCTTCCTGCCATTCCTGCCTCCTCCTTCTGGGGGCCCTGCCTCCTTGGCCCCTCCTGTGGCTGCCTGTGTATCTGCATCTGCCCTCCTCTGTCTCTGTCCTCCGCCTCTCCTCTCCCCTGGGCCCCAGCCAGGAAGGGTTGGGTGGGGGTGGCGGCCGGGCCCCCACAGTGTGATCGCTGTGGGCTGAGGGAGCGTGGACAGCATGAGTGCCGGTTCAGGCTATGTTTGCGCCTCTGTGTGCAGCCAGTGGTGCCTGGGTCAGGTATGAGGCATCCCTGCGCCTCCTTCCTGCCCAAGTGACTACAGCCCTGCGGATCACCAGCCTTTGTTCTGAACTTAAAGTCGGCACAAGCTTGAGCCCTGCTGCAAGTTCCTCAGGCTGTGCCACTGTGGCTGAAAGCATGGACGGCCCCTGCCACAGAGACCGGCGTGGTGTCCGCACGACCCCGTCTGTGCCCTCCGCTGGCTCTGCGGTGGCCCATGTGGTCTGGGGTGCTGACCACACGGCAGCTCGGGGCGAGGCCTGTAGAGATACAGCTCCCCCCACAGGGCTCTGGCGGGGGCTTTTGTGGTTTAATCTCCTGTAACAAGGTCTCCTTTTATTCATGGTGATCAGTGTTCGCTTGAAGTTTTGCTGCAAGGGCATCTGAGTGGGAGAGAGGCAGCTCATGACGCTTAGGGAGGTGGGTTGGCCTTTTGTGGTCTCCTCCTGACTTGGGTTGGCAGGAGGGTGGCCTGACTCCCCTGCTTCATGTGGGCTCGAGGGACCTGGATGTGACGGTGCTGCAGCCGCCACCTCTGCCCAGCCGGCGCCCTCAGGCAGGAGGACACGTGCGCACCGGGGCCGCACTGCCCTCCTGTGGGTCCGCGGTTGGCTGCTGTCTCAGTGTTGTGTTTTGGGGCCCGTCCACCTGTGTGTGCTTGCCTGTGCTGGGTGGCTGGTGTTCCGTCGTGTGGGGCCCAGCGTGTCACCTGATGTCACCGATGGCCCTCTGGACTCTTGGCCAGAGGTAAAGCTGAGCCCTTGTGAAACCACAGCTTGGAGCAGTGAGAACAGGGAGGAAGTCGGGCCTCCAGGCTCCTCTGCCGTTGGCTGGTGGCCGCCCCTGCTACTCTAGCCTGGCACTGCCCTGACCCACGAAGGTGACGGTGCTCCTGAGACCCATATGGTCAGGCGAGCAACTCACTCTCAGGATGATGGGGTGGCCCGGTCCTGAAGCCCACGTCCTCACCCCACGGTGGTCACCCCGTGGAGTCCTGGGGACTGTGCTCTCCACCGCCCTTTGTCCTGAGGATTTCCTGGAGGGGCTTGTGTTGGAGGAGACCTGGGCCTCTGCCATGTCCCCATCTCAGGTGGCCATGGGGGACCACGGCCCGGTGGCGGGATGGCGTGGGCCCTGCTGTGCTGCCGTGGTCGGGGAATAATGCCCCTGTGTCCTGGGCCACAGCTGCGTGGCCGGTGGGGGCAGTGGCGTGGCTCTGCTCTGTCCCCTGGGCCGGCAGCTGCCCACTTGGCCAAGTGCCCAGGCAGGGCTGGCTTGGCCTCACCACTGGGCCCAAGGCGGGACCACGGCCCGGTGGCGGGATGGCGTGGGCCCTGCTGTGCTGCCGTGGTCGGGGAATAATGCCCCTGTGTCCTGGGCCACAGCTGCGTGGCCGGTGGGGGCAGTGGCGTGGCTCTGCTCTGTCCCCTGGGCCGGCAGCTGCCCACTTGGCCAAGTGCCCAGGCAGGGCTGGCTTGGCCTCACCACTGGGCCCAAGGCGCGGCGTGGGCAGCACCTCCTTGCCTGTGCCACTCGAGTGCTTGCAGAGAGCTGGGTGGGACCTGGGTGGACTCACAGGCACGGGGGGCGGGGCGCGTGACACTGCTGTGCTGCCCACTGCGAGGGGAGACCGAGGCAGGGCTGCCAGTGTCTGTATGTGGCCGTGGCTCTGGAGCTGGGGCCTGGCTGTCTTCCCGGCTCCTCTTGCCAGAGCCCCACACAGCCTTCGTGCACAGCACAGAGACGGGGACATGGGGCTGTCCTGGAGTAATCATGTGACAGATGCTGGTGCAGAAGCGGGAGAGTAAGAGAGGCACAGTGGTGCCTGTTCATAATCTCAGCACCCTGGGAGGCTGAGGCAGGAAAACTGCGAGATTAAGTCCAGGCTGGGGGCAGTCTAGTGTTTTGGTGAGACTGTATCTCAAAATAAAGACAAAAAAAGGATTGGGGCTGGAGCTCAGTGTGAAGTTGCTGGGTTTACTTGCCAGAAACACAAAAACATTATTTTAAAAAGTAAAAAATAAATAAGAAAGAGAAAGAGCACCTGTCCCTCCCTGCCCAGCGTGTCAGCTCACGCTCGTCCTCCGGTCCCACGCTGGTGCCCTTGTGTGCAGGTCCCTGGGCCGGCTCAGGCCCCCCGGGGCCCTGGAGCTTGAGAGGACCTCTTGTTAGGAGGAGCCCTCTTTCAGGGCCGGGATGCTGGGAGGGTCAGAGGGTGGAGTGTGTGAGGACGGGAGGGGAGGGCAGGGCGGGGCCGGGCTCCCTGGCTGACCTGGGGTCCCCGGCCCTGTCCCCTCAGGACCGCAACCTGGCGGGCAAGTTGGAGCCCGTGTCCCCGCCCAGCCCCCCGCACGGCGATGGTGAGCTGCAGCTGCTGCCCCCGCGGCTGTCCAAGGAGGAGCTGATCCAGAGCATGGACCGCGTGGACCGCGAAATCACCATGGTGGAGCAGCAGATCTCCAAGCTGAAGAAGAAGCAGGTGCGGCTGGTGTGGCGGGTGGCAGCACCCCCAGGGGACCCCACGGATATACGCAGGTACCCCTTGATCTGGGGGAGTGAACTTGTGTGCCTACATGACATTCATGAGGCCAGCAACACAGCCCCTGACCTGGCCCCCAGAGCAGTGGCCGTCTGACCCAAAGGCCCCTGTGGCCTTTGATGCTTAATCTAAGTGTGGTTAGCTGGATGTGGTGGTGCTCGTCTGTAAGCCCAGCACTCAGGAGGCTGAGGCGGGAGGATCGCTGTGAGTTCAAGGCCAGTCTGAACTGCATAGTGAGTTACTGTCTCAACCCCCCCCCCCCCCCCACACACTTTAAATGTGGTTTGTCTAATTTCCCCTGGGAAGCCTCAGATTCCTTGTCTATAAAATGAATGTAATATTCGTCTTCTAGGGTTTTAAAGAGGAATCAAGATCCTGAGATTGAAAACAAAGTCTCATTGTTACAGGTGAAACCAGACAAAGACATGTGGAGAAATGTTGATTTGAATAGTTCTTGTCTTGTTTTGTTTTCTTTGTTTTTTTTCCCGTGTTGGGAATCGAACTCAGGGCCTTGCACTCGACAGGCAGGAGCTGTGCTGCTGTGCTGTATCCCTGGCCCTGTAATTTTGTTTTTGAGACAGGGTCTCACTTTGTAGGTCAGGCTGGCCTTGAATTCACTGTTAGCCAGGCTGGCCTTGAACTCAGCAATTCTCCTGCTTCAGCCTCCTGAGGAGCTGGGATTATAGGTGTGCACCACCATGCCTGGCTGTGGTGGTGTTAATATTCATTTCTAGTTTACTCAATACAAAGTCATTTGATAATCTGACTTTTCCTGGCGCTTCTGGGGTTCCCGCCCTGGCGTCTTTTGGGTGTCTGCTCAGATGCCCCCTGCAGAGAGGACGCCCTGGCCATTACGCGAGCTGTGTCTCCAGCCAGCCTCTGTCCCCACGCATGGCTGACACCGTCACACCTGGCCTGGCAGGCTGCTCCCCGTGTACCTGCTGCGTGTGGCTGTGCTCGGGTCACCGAGACGCTGTGGTCTCGACATCGGGGCGTCGGTGGGACCCCGCTGACCTGTGGATCGGCCGCCGCACTGTGGCACCGTCGTCGACACTGTTCTTTGTGACCCGCGGTGTTGGGGCTCGGGGAGGCTCGTGTCTGTCCCCTCCTTCGGGGGAGCACGGGCATGTGGCACCGGGCCAGGGTTGAGTGTGCAGAGTGTGGGCGCAGAGGGCGTATTGCTGAGGTGGCCGGGCAGTGGCCCGGACCCGCGTGTCGTGTGGTTTCCAGGCTGGCTCTGGGCGGCGTGGCAGCCGTGGTTCCCCTGTGTACAGTGTGACTTGGGCCAGGCGCTGCAGTCAGGTTTCGCGGCGTGAGTTTCCCTTAATCCCTTATGAGGTGCTTTGGAGCTGCAGCTCCCAGTACGAGCCGGCCCTGTGGTGGGATCGGTGCGCTGCTGGTGTCGTGTGGGCCTTGTCACTTGCTGGCCCAAGTCATCCTCCCGTGAAGGAAGCCCGGCCACCCGCAGTCTCTGGAGGCCCTCCCTCCCGCCACCGCCTGGCCTCGGGCGGGTCACACCGTGGTCCCCTGCCTGCCTCTTCCCCAGTGGAAGCCTGGTGGTGGCAGTACTGGGGCCTTGTCCTCTGTCTTGGGGGTGGCAGCCCAGCCAGCTGAGCTCTGTGGCCCAGGGGACGTGTGTGCCTTGTGTCTGTCCGCCCGTCTCGTGGACGTGGCGCTGTTTCCGCCCCACGGTTGCTGCTGCTGGGATCGCAAGTCTGCCAGTGTTTGTTTGGCTGATGCATTCAGCCTCTCGGGCGTAGACAGAAGGGATCACCAGGCCACGTGGAAATCAGTGCTGAGGAATTTCCAGGCTCTCTTCCATTACAGCTGCCCCATTTTTACAGCCTCCCAGCAGCGTCTGACGGTTCCAGCTTTTCCACATTCTTGCCTAACGCCTGTTATTTTCTTTTTAAACAAAGTTCTGGTGTCAGCTGCTGTGGCCATGCTCTGGCGGTGGGAGCAGTGTCGTCCCGCCTCTGCTTGGCGGCTCAGGCAGCTGTGGGAGGAGGCACCGACCTCCAGGGCTTCGATGAAGGACTCCCGGGGTCAGAGCGGTGAGCCAGGCCCCAGAGCCGGGAGCAGTGCAGCCGAGCCCTGTGCTCCTGCGGGGTGGCGGGGTCTCAGTGCCCCTGTCAGCGGCAGCAGCGGGGTTCCTTCCTGCACGCCCCTGGCCCCACATCAGGCCCGCACCAGGGGTCGCTGAGCAGCTACTCTGGACTGGCTCTTTCCCGCTTCCTGTTTGGGATCCTAATGCTCTGTCCCTCAGTCACATCCAGGCTGTGTGGGCGCTGCAGGAGGAGTGGACTCTGATTCCTTTGGGGACCGTTCAGACAGCAGACGGGAATAGGCCTTCAGGGTGACCCGGAGCCAGCGTCTCTGTCCTCTGGTCTTTGCTCCCTTTTTTGGTGTAAAGCAGTGGGAAGCACAAAGGGTTGGCCATCTGGGATGTTCAGGGTTGGGGTGTGGAGTGTACAGACTGCAGGGTGAATGGTGATGGCGGTGATGATGGAGATGGTGATGATGGAGATGGTGATGATGGAGATGGTGATGGTGATGGTGCTGATGGTGGTGGTGAAGATGATGGTGGCGATGGTGATGATGGTGATGACGGTGATGACGGTGCTGGTGGTGGTGATGGCGATGGTGGTGGGGATGATGGTGGTCATGAGAGTGGGCCAGCATTGTTGATGGGGCACTGGCTGAGAGTGCGGTGCAGGCATCAGCTCCTTTGGTGCTCACCAGGGTAAAAGGGCTTTCTTTCATGACCGTCATTTCCAAATGAGAAAGAGGCTCAGGAAGTCGGGCCATTTCCCAGGCTGCCCAGCGAGCAGAGTGAACATAGCATCCCATTGGCCACAGAGTCTGCAGTCCCCCTCCACGCTGTGGCTTGTGGGAAATGCAGTGGACGAGGGTGGCAGCCTCTCGTAGCCCGACTCGGCGCTCCACATACATGGGCCTTTCAGCCCCTACCGTGCGCATCAGGGAGACTGGGATCAGCTCAGATGGGGAAACTGAGGCCCGTCGGGGTGGAGCCACTCCTTTGCCTCCTCTGCATACCCTGGGCGGCCTCTGAACCAGGAGGCTGTCGGGGCCGGGCCGGGCTTCCCTCTGCAGATACGGAGTCCCCAGGTGACTCAGAGGAAGCGGAGAGCGGCCTGACTTCCTGTGGTGGCTGCGGGCCCTCGTGGGCTGTGCCTCTCCTTCCGCCTGAGCGCGGGGCTCACCCTCGCACTGCCCCTTTCCCACAGCAACAGTTGGAGGAGGAGGCCGCCAAGCCGCCGGAGCCGGAGAAGCCCGTGTCGCCGCCGCCCATTGAGTCGAAGCACCGCAGTCTGGTGCAGATCATCTACGATGAGAACCGGGTACGTGAGCCTCTGTGTTCCTGTCTGCCATGGGACCGGCCCTCCTCCTGCCCAAGGGCCAGCTGGCAAGTGGGGGCAGCTTGGGGTGGCCCTGCCTCCGTGAACGCACAGGCATCGGGCCAAGGGGCCAGGTGGACGCACAGATGGTCACAGTGTCATCACCAACAGCAGTGCATACGTCCTCCGGCCAGACCCTTCTTGTCCATCCTAGAGGAGCAGGCCTGGGAAAGCAGGCGCCGTGGTCATTTGGTTTACACACGGGGAAACTGAGGCCCAGAGGGGAGCCATGACTCGTCCGGAGTCACAAGAGTCGCAGCATGGGCTCTTGTCCTCCAGCCGGTCCCGCTAACCCTTCCCCAGGAGGTGGCCCTGGCAGGACCTGGGCGTCTGAAGGCTGCCCTTCACCACCTATGGTGGGGAGGGCTGAGGCTGTCTGGTGCTCTGACAGCTGCTCTGGGCCTGGGGACGACACCCAGGGTCAGTAAGTGTCTTTAGGACAGGCAGGGTGATGGCCTGGGTGGAGTGCCGACCTCCCTCTTCCTGGCTGTGACCTTGGGCATGTCACTGAGCCCCTTTGCCTCAGCCTCATGGCTGCGGAGTGGCGGTGCCAAAGTGGCTCCTGCTGGTGCCTTTTGGACGGTGCCAGTCACTGAGGAAGGGCTCGCTGGCGCCGTAGGGCTTTGTCCATCCTCGTTATGGCTGCACACTGTGCGGTTCCAGTGAGCTCCATCCAGGCCTGGACGAAGCAGGTGCAGTTGGTGCTCAGAGGCCAGGGCCCGCCACGGGTGGCACGGGCTCGAGCTTGGAGGGGCCTCGGCCCTGAGCAGGAGAGCAGGTACAGCTGTCTCCAGCAGCTGTTGCAGATCTGTGGCTCCTCCTTCCGGCTCCCTGGGCCCAGCCTCCATTCATTCTGCTCATGGTGAAGGGTAGGAAGGTCTTTGGGCGGGTCTGGCGATGAGGGCCCTGGAACAGCTGCAGGGTGTGGAGGGGAGGGAGAGGTGAGGATGGCCGGGCTTGGGGGTGTGGAGCTAGGGTGTCTCCTGCCTGGGCTGAGCCTCGGAAGCTGGCGCCTCACAGTGGGGAGCAGCCAGAATGGGGAGCCCCTTGGGGGGTCAGGGGGATTAAGTTTTAATCCGCCTCCTTCCCTGCCGCTTGCTGCAGGTGGGGGCGGGGCGGGGCCGCTGCCCTCCTGCACGCCTGGCCCATTACCCTGCACAAGGCCCCGCTGTGCCAGGCTCCCCCGCTTCAGGCTGCCGTGCAGGTGCACACAGATGGCGGGCACAGGCAGGGCTGCCAGCCCGACCCGGAGGCCTGGCACCGGGAGAGGAGCTGGGTGCCAGGAGTTCCGGGGCCAGGGTGTGCCAAGACCCTGGGGGTGGTGCTGTGATCTCTGAAGCTGCGGTCGGCCCCAGGCTTTGGGGTGAAGGTGCCGCGGGCAGGGCCGGCTGTCGCGAGGTGGAGGGAGGGTAGGGAGGACGCGGCCCACAGTCTGGCCGCTTCCCATGGCCGGGCCTGCGGCTGTTGGCAGGGTGATGAGGACCTGAGGCTGCTGGTACAGAAGAGCAGGGCCCAGGCCGTCCTGGGCTCACGTGTGGGTGCGTGTGTGCACCTGTGTGTGCATTTGCTTGTGTGTGCTGTGTGCACACACGCATGTGGGGGTCAGCCTGAGCTGTGCGTGAGTGGCCGTGAGGTGTCGTCCTCTCCCTCACCCGTCCCTGGGCGCCTGGCCTCGGCGTCTGCACAGCTCTTGGGCTGCCCGCTCTGTGCTTCTGTGAGGAGGAAACGCTCCCGGTGTGTGCAGTCCCAGGCTGTCCTCACCGTAGGGTGGCGATCACTAGTGCAGCGTCACTGTCCTTAGGACCGCCTGCTGCCCACCGGGGCTGGCGGTGTCCTGGGGCAGATGTCCTTTGTCTGCCCAGCACCCAGCACTAGGGCGAGGACCCGGACAGCCATGCTTGGCCTGACCCTGTCTGCTGTACTCCTCCACCCCGAGGCGCAGTGCCGCCATCGTGGGGCAGGGCCAGTGGGCCGAGGGCCCGCCTGTGGGTGTGTGTAGGGACCCCTTCCTGCTGCACGTGGCTGTTCTCCAAATCAGTCCCAGGCTGTGCCCAGGGAGGCTGGTGGGGGTGGGGGGCTGTGGAAAGAATCACGTGATTGTGAAACAGAGATCCCAGAAAGGGCATCTCCTGTCACCCGGCCCCCTCCTCCTCTTCCCCTCGCCCTGTGCCGCTCTCAGCTGCACCCTCGCTGGGCCCTGGAGCCCTGGGGGTGGCAGGGGGCTGGGCACCCGGGACTCTGCCCCCTTGGGCTCAGCAGGGCCATGGGGAGGAGCTGAGGCCCCCGTGACTTCTGCAGCCAGGGGAGGACGGGAGGCTGTGGGCTTCCTGCCCAGGCTGTGGACTGTGTGCCAGGCGGCAGTGGCCCCCCGTTTCTAACCTGTCCTGTGTGTTCTTGGTCACCATAGAAGAAGGCAGAGGCGGCCCATCGGATCCTGGAAGGCCTGGGGCCCCAGGTGGAGCTGGTGAGTAGGGCTCGGGTGTGGCGGGGCACGGGGAGGGGAGGAGGAAGCGGCCCCTGCCCAGCTCCGCCCAGGCAGCCTCAGTGAGGAGGCAGGAAGCAGGGGAGGCCGCAGGGCACAGCCCGGCCGGTGCTTCACTGCAGCTTGGCACGGAGATCCATCCCCGGCCTGGGGGTCCGGCTCAGCTCCGAGTCTGCTCCAGACGGTTGGGGAAGCCCGGGTGGGTCTCTGGACCACTGGCTTCAGCTGCTGTCTGCACGTGGACTGGCGAGGGTTTGCTGTGGAGCTTCGCGCAGTGCGGGTACCGTGCCTCACTGTTGAGCTGCTGTCCTGACCACCTTGGCCGGCCTTGGCTTGCGGACCGGAAGGGGCCTGGTCTGCAGCCTGGTACACAGTGGGGCCGGCCTGGTGTGTGGGAGCAGAAGGGCAGCCTGGGGAGCCTGGCCCCTGCTGTCCCCCTGGGGACCCCAGGAGCTGTGGCTGAGGGGTGGACAGGGCCAGGCGTGGCTGTCGTGTGTCCAGCGCCATGTTGTTGGCTCTGGGGGGGCGACTGCGTGTCATCCTTACCCCTGCCCACTGCCGCTCTGTTCTGCTGGTGCCTTTTGGGCAGCCGTGGGGAGGGGCCTGCCCCATGCCCTCCGTCCAGTGTCGGGGAAATGGGCAGGGGTCTTGGGGGACCCACGTGGGGCTCAGGGAAGTGGGGGGCAGGATTGCTCAGCACAGCACTTCGGAAGGACCCAGTGAGGACTGTGCTTGCAGAGCCACTGCCCCTGGTTTTCCCTAGGTGCTGGGTGCTGTGGGCCCTTGGTCCCCAGACCCAGGCCGCTCTGCCTGGTGGTGCAGCTGCTGCCTGCACCACCGTCAGGAACCCTCCCGTCAGCTGTGTCCTGACTCGTTCCGTTCCCTCTGTTGCCAAACAGGGAGGGCAGGATCAGAGGTGCCTCAAGGGGCTCCAGACCCTGAGGCTCCCGCTACCCGTTCCTGAGGAGGACCCAAGCCCAGGCTCGCAGGTGGGGAAGCAGGGACAGGGCCATACCGGCCGTGGACGGTGTCCCTGGGTCCTGGCCCCAAATCTGTGGGAGGGGCCCGGCGGTGCAGGCCAAGGCGCAGGTGCAGTGCGCTCGGTGGCCCGGCTGGGGCTGTAGCTGGGGTGTCTTCCTGTCAGTGGGCCCTCGGCTTGGTCTCTGTGCCAGGTGTCACGGAGGTGCCCCGTGTCTGTCTGTGGGGGAGGCTGCAAGAGGGCAGGGCCGTGCTGGGTCTGCACTGCCGGAGAGGGGCAGGGCCTGGAGCGGGCAGGAAGGACTCGTCCCCTCCCTCCTGTCCCTGGGGCCGTGGCTGCAGGTGGCCCCAGGATTTGGGGCTGACAGCAGGGGCCGTTTCTAGGTCCCCGAACCCTTGGGGACCAGGCTGCCCTAGGGTGGGAGGTGGTAGAGGGAAGGCCATCGCAGACCTCGTGGCTGCTGTGTGAGTCACGGCTTCCTTCCTGCTCCAGCTGGTATTTTAAGAACTCGGTGTCACCAGCAGGGTGAAGGCTGGGATGACTCCAGCTGGTAGCAGCGCATCCTGGGGACATCCTGCTTTCCTTGTCCCTTCTCGGCCCCACCCCAAGCTGTGCAGGAGCCAGTCCTGCAGGGGACCCCGCCTTTTCCCCAGCCCCCACTCTTCATGAGCTGGTGCTCTGGGCTTCCCCTCACAGCAGGGATGGAAGCTGGGCCAGGGCAGAGGCAGAGGGGCCCGCACAAGCCCTGGCGTCCTCTGGACCTGGGCGGTGCCGGTCCCCATGGCCTGGAGGTTGCCTCAGAGCTACCAGCTTGGCACTGGCCTCTGTGGAGGGTGAGGGGGTCCTTGGGACCCCCTGGGCCCTGTTGTCCCCTTGGCAGTGTGCCCCACCCTGCTCCTCCTGGGCCTTGTGAGATGGTCACCTGGGCCTGTTGCCATGGTGACAGGGCACTCCCAGGCTGCTCCCAGAGCTTCATTGGTTCCTGCCTCAGTTTACCCGAGGAGCCCTGCATCCCAGCCCCATTGGGTTAGAGGCTGGCTGGGGCCCTGCTGCCACCTGCAGCTCATGTCCCTGTGCTCCCTGCTGGGTCTGTGTGCTGGGTCTCTCGGAGCTTCCTGGGTCCTTAGGCTGCTTGTCTTTATAAGAAACCGGGACAAACCAGCCATTGCATTTAAAATGTTCTGGGCCGCTCAGGCTGGGCAAATGGGTTCTCTTTGCTGTGTGCCCATTTTCTAGATTGGGAAACCAAGGCCCAAGCTCTCACTTGGGAGCTGGACAGGGAGGAAGCGGGGTGTAAGTCAGGGCCAGCCTGAGCCATGAGCGGATGGATGGATGGCCCTTTCCGCCTGGCCTGCGGTCCTGGATGATGGGGGTCGTAAAGACCACGCCTGGAACTTGCCTCCTTCCGAGGGTGTCTGACCCGTCTTCTGGGCAGTTCCGAGGTGTCTAATGCAGGCTCTGCTGGTCCTGCCTGTTCCTCCCTTCTATTGAGGCCCTGGCTGGGGACATTGTGGGTGGAGGCCTGTGACCTGGTGTCAGAAGAGGCCTCCTCGTCTCCGGGGGTGGCTGGGTGTGGACAGGGCTGTGGGCAGCGGTGTTGGTCCTGGGGCCCTTGTGGGCGTCCAAGGTGCCCCGGTACTAGGGCTGCCGGTCCACGGTGGCAGGAGGCACAGCCAGGCCCTCCGGGTGCTGGGTGTGAGGTTCTGCCTCCCTGGCTCCCACCAGCTGTGCCCGACCCTCTGGCCTCCCGAGGCCTCGGTGTCTCCACCCTCAACACGGGGCAGTTGTACCCATGGCTGGAAGCGGGCTCCGTGTGCTCCGTGTCTCGTCCCCAGGGTCCGCTCGGGAGTGAACAGAGGATGTAGTGGTGTAGACTCTGCCATGCTGGCGGCTGTCCCTCAGTGTGGTGGCCAGGCCTGGAAGGGTCCGGGAGGCTCAGAAGTCTGTGCTGTCAGCAGTCTTGGGCTTGGGGGCACTGATTCTTCTGGGGCGGCTCTGTTTTACAGAAGAGAGAAACTGAGGCAGGCCCACGTGGATTTGTAGCACACGGGGCAGAGCCAGGGGGTGAACCCACAGTTGGCTGTGGTGCTGTGCCACAGCGCTCCCACCCAGGCGGGGACACAGGTGCTAGCTCAGCCTGACTGGCACAGGCCTGTGGCTGCCTCTGCCTGTGCTGTTGGTTCCCCTGCGCCATCCTCTGGTGGTGGTGCCCGCCTGCTTCCAGCTGCCGCCAATGGAGCAGCGTGGTGAGGACCCAGCCCTGGGGCTCTGCGCTCCTGCGGGACAGGCAGGGCCGTGCTGTCTTCCCGAGGGTGCTGCCTGGGTCTGCCGGTGCCTGTGTGTGTCCCGGCTGTGCTGAGGCTTCCCCTCGGTCCCCAGCCTCACCCTGCCCGGCGCCACCTGTCGACACTGTGGGTCTGGGTTCGAGGACATCTGTGACTCTGGGGTCCCGGTGTCCATGGTGACCGGGGTCCACTGCAAGTCCTGACCCCCTCCAGGGGCTCTCAGGCTGTGGGGCTGGGGCAGCGGCCTCTCCCGGGCCTGGTGGCTCCTGGGCCTGGGTGCAGCTGCTGGGCTCGCAGGGTGCCGGCTGGTGGCCACGTTCACTGACGTCTCCCTTCCTCCACAGCCGCTGTATAATCAGCCCTCTGACACCCGGCAGTACCACGAGAACATCAAGATGTGAGTGCAGCGACCTGGGCGAGGAGGGCGGGCGCAGGGCGCAGCTGGAGGTGACGGGGCCTGGGTGTCTGGGGTCTGTCGGAGTTGGCCCTTTGCATAGTCTGCAAGTGTGGCAGGAAGCACTGAACCGGGGGCCTGGGGTGGGCAGTGCAGTGGGACCCAACGGTGGGACCCCTCCCAGGGGACGCCAGGAGAGCAAGCGGTCATCATTCTGGCGCCATGCACTTTTGGGGGCCGCACGGCTGGCTTGGGGCAGATGGTGTGGCATCTTTAAGCAGTAGGTTGGCCCGCTGGACAGCCCTGGCTTTCCCTGGGGATGTACTGATGGGAGCACAGCCTTCCGGCGTGAAGGGGATATTTCCTCATGTCATCATCCAGGACCCCAAAAGGCAAAGGGGCCGAGGCCTTGCCCCGGTGGCTGTGCGCATGGCAGGGAATAGGTTGGAGGTGTGTGTGTGTCTGTGGGATCCCCATGTGCTTCTGGTTTGTGACTGAGGAGGCTCAGCTGCTCACATGTGACTTCCAAGGGCAGCCTTTGTGGGTTCAGTGGGCCCAGGTGTGGCTGGGGTGGCAGCGTAGGGTGGGGTGTGGTGCTGGAGGCCTTCGAGCCCCACCCTGCCGGGGTTGTGCTGTTGGTGCGGCCCCCCATGTTGTCATCTCTGGTCTGCTGTGTCTGGCCCGAGCCTGGCCCAGCTGGCCACCCTGCGTCCCTGGTGGCTCGGAGCAGCCGGGCGTCTCGCTGGAGACCCAGCCCACACCTCGGACCTCAGCGTTTTGGGCTGGCCACAGGGCTGTCGCGAGGTGCTGGGTCGTCACGTTGGCACCAGGGGTTCCCCACGATGGCTGGATCCAGGCTTGGGGGCCTTCGTACAGCTGGGTCGGGGCAGGAGGTGTTTGCTGCCGCGTCTGGCTGCTGGGGCTTCGCCACTCACTCGTCCATTTGCTCATCACTTCATTCATCTGCTCCGCTGGGGCCTGGCCATGTCTTAGGGGCTGGGACAAAGCAGAGGTTTGTGTCCTGCAGCAAAGAAGAGAGTTAAATAACAGGGAAAGTCTCAGCTTATCTAAGTATGGGAGTCGCTCACCAAGGCTCGTTGTGTTTTCCTTTTGACCTGTGCATTTCTTTATCTGTGGTATCGGGGATCGAACCCAGGGCTTTCGTCCCAATCGGCATCCCCAGCCCGTCTTATTTTTCATCTTGAGACGGGGTCTCATTAAGTTTCTCCGTTGCCCAGGCTGGGCCTGAACTTGCCACCCTCCAGCCTTGCCTCCCAGAGTGCCAGGATCTTAGACAGGCGCCACCGTGTCCAACTTGGACGTGACTTTAATAGCAGCGTATGAAGCCGGAAATTTCACGTGATCTTCATCGCTCAGAGAGCAGCTTAGGTCTGATGGCGTTGGACGACTGCAGTAAGAGCAGCCACACTGGCCCAGCCGCGAAGGAGCCGGGCACCTCACGGAAACGGCAGCAACTGAGGTCCGCTGCACCGTCGTCCCGGGAGCAGGATCACGGTTTCGTTTGTGGTCCTGCGTTATCGCCAGGTCTGCATGGGTGGTCGGTCCCGGGGTACCCCTCCTGCTCAGCGGGAGTGAGTTCTTACGTGAGGTCGATCTTACTGCTGAAAAGTGAATCAGCAACAGGTTTGTGCTTAGAATTTGAAGGCTTTTTTTCATGTTTTCTGTCAAAGTTACTGCTTTTGACTTCATTGTGGCTGTTATTAAGGCAGTGCATTTGCTTGCTTTACAAAACGCTCTCAAGATGGTAGCAGGAGATAGGAGAGGACAGGTGACTGGCCTGAGCAGTCAGGGCAGGGTGTGACAACTGAGGGGACCCTTCTGGCTGTGCTGCCTCTGGCCGTGTTCCCCTGAGGGCAGGAGAGTTGTAGGCAGGGGCAGAAGCAGTGCAAAAGTCCTGGGGCCACATGGGTGGCGAGGGGAGGAGGGCAGGGCCTTGGCTGCTCCTGGCTGTGCTTTCTGCCGCTGTGCCGGCTTTGCTCCAGGGAGCGCACAGTCTGAGTGCAGCCTCAGGTCTCAGTCACTATACAGCTGCTGCAGGCTCAGGGTGAGAGGGTCTCAGGGCACTAACTCCCAGCACCTCTGTCCTCCCATCTCCATTCCCAGGACTGCGGGGACTTTGGTTATGCAGCCTCAGGCCCCGAAGTATTTGTGCTCAGCTTTTCCAAAGGCGTGGGGTGGGGGCGCTCCTCCATTTGGCAAGTGCTCGCTGCCTCTGCTCCGCTAGTCTGGGCCCCGCGATGGCCGTGACCGCGGCCTGACATTGCAGAGGGGACAGATGCCGGCGCACTGCGTGTGATGACCCACAAGGTGGGAGGTGGGAGGTGGGCCCCTGGGACCCGGCCCGGCACTGTCATCTCTGTGGCTGCGTGCAGCTAATTTCACGCTCCGCTTCCTGCTGCCCGGGCATTCGGGGACGGATGTGCTGCGGTCACCTGCGCTCCCTCACTGCCCCTCTGCCGCCCACGCTGTCTCTGCGGGGCCACTGCTGTGTCCAGAGGGTGCCTGGCTTCCAGCCGCAGGCGCTTCTGTCCTGTCCCCGTTTTCCTGTCTCGCAGCCCGTTGCCCCGTCCTGTGCCTGCGAGGGGTGCAGGTGGGAAGCTGTCACCAGGCCCGGGCTCCGCTGAGACCCCGAGGAGCCTGCCCCACTGTCCTCCTGGGCTGTGTGTGCGAGTGCTCCCTCCCCCCGCCACCCGCTCCTCTGCTCCAACCGCTGCTCCAGGGAGCTGACCTGATTGCCCGGGCAGCCCCCTGGGTTTGCAGGAAAGGCGATTGCATGTACAATGGAGAAGCCTTGGCTTCCCGGGAACCAAGCTGGGTCCCAGGTGGCCCTGCTGTCAGGCATCCTTACTGCCAGGCTTTCTTGGTTGTCGTTTTCCTTTTTAGCCCAGATACTTTTCTGGGAGACCCAGTGCCCACACACCTGGCCCTGGCCCTGCTCACCTGGTGCTTGTCCTCTCCCAGGACCCTCACCCACCTGGGCCTTCTTCCTGTTCTTCACCCGACCCCTGACTGTGCTCCTACCCTGGTGCCTTTGCACTTGTAGTGTCCACTGCCCGGGGTCCCCTCCCCTTAGATGTCCCCATGGTCCTTCTGAGCTGTCTGCCTCCAGCCCGGGCTCCCCCAGGGCTTCCTATATCTGCAGCTTTCAGGGGCCACACTTGTGTGGTCTGAGGGCAGCCCCAGGCACACTTGCTGCCACCCTGGTTGACGTCATGAGTCTGGCACAGAGCTGCCTCATTCTGTTATCGTCACTGTGACGCCTCTTTCGGGGGGCCTGGGCCTGTCCTGTCCCCTGTGTGCCTTGCGTGGTGGGAGCTCGAGGAGTGGTTGGAATTGATGGAGACAGGTGCCCGATGACTCCGGATGCGGACACTGAGTCAGGGTGCATCTGAGGTCAGCTCAGACTCAGCATCATTGGGGAGGGGCTCTGGATGCCCACCCCGGTGTCTGGGGCCCCTTTCCCATCCCCAACACAGGTCCTGGGCTGTGGGCAGGAGGCCTCCGGGCCCGTGTTGCTGTGACGTCCGTCAGTGGCTGCTGAGCTTTCTGTGGGTTTAAACACTGCAGAGAAGTGGGTGCCACTGCCCACCAGGGGTGAGGCGAGTTTGGGGTGCAGTGGCCCTGAGGCCGGCCTGCTGTCTGTGTTCCCGGCACGTGTGCTGGCGCTGGAGCGGGGCCAAGCCTGCCCCGCGCAGTCCCTGCACGTCCCAGGGTCCCTGTCCCCTCCTCCACACTTCCCCCGCCTTCCCGTGTCCTGCACCCTCCACTCTGCCTCCCCCAGCCCCACCCGGTCTGGGCTGCTGTCCCCCTCGCTCGGCCCCTCCAGGTCCCTGTCCTGTGGGGTTAATCGCTCCCCTTTCTGTCTCGCTGTCTCTCCGGTCTCTGTCTGCCCTGTGTCCCTGCCTCTCTCTCTTCTGAGCACCTATACCTCCCTCGGCGGCAGCCCCTCTCCAGGAGCCGCAGAGCTGTGGGGACCTGGTGCCCCTGCTGTCTCCTTTGTGCAGGACAGGGTGCCGGGGGACCAGGCCTTTCTCCTGGGTGCACCCAGCCTTCTGGAGATTTGGGTCGCTTTGGGGGTGCAGGAGTCTTCAGCAGGGTGGTGCCTGCTCGGGCCTGCGTGGCTGGGACACAGCTGACCCAGTCCTCTGTCCCCCAGAAACCAGGCCATGCGCAAGAAGCTGATCCTGTACTTCAAGCGGAGGAACCACGCGCGCAAGCAGTGGGTGAGTCCCTGGGATCAGCACCAGGGTGGGAGCGGGGCTGGGGGGGTGAGGCTCAGGGGCCCCGATGTCCCCCTGTCCCTGTGCCTCAGCCTTCCTGCCCTCAAGGGCCCTGCTTTCTACCGGGTCAGGTCTACTTCCGGGGCGCACTCAGTCCTGCCGGGCGTGTGCGGGTCTGTGGTACACAATTGGTGCCAACTCAGCGCAGCCTGAATGGAAACGTGATGCCGCCTGCGCAGTAGGCAAGCGGAACAGGGCATTGGCTGAGGGTGGCTGACGTGTACACAGAGCCCGCGTCTGGCAGACCCCTGTCCCCATGCCGCAGAGGGGAAGCTGAGGCACAGAGTGGTAGAGTGGCCTGCCTGTGCCACATGGCTGATTTTGAGCCCTGGCTGGCTACTTCCGAGCCCGGGAGCAGGTTCCACCCTGGGCTGGGCGGAGAAAGGAGACTGGGTGTTCGCAGGCTGCCCGGGATGGCACGCTTGGCGGGGCTGTGACCCGGGAAGGCTGAGCCGAAGGCACGTATGTGCCAGAGCTCCGGGGTGGGGGAAGCAGGTGGCTGGTGGCGACTGGGGCCATGCCAGGGGCTGGCGGTGGTTGGCACGGAGCCCGGGGACACTGCCCTTGTGGGATGGTGCATTTAGATTTTATTCTCAGCACAGCGAGATGTATTGATTCTCCAGCAAGTGCTCAGTCTTTGAGTTGAGACAGGAGAGCGCCACACGTCCCAGCCAGAGTCAGGCACCATGGGGCCCTGTCACTGGGCGGGGAGGGACAGGAGTCTGCTGCCTGTCTGCTCATTGTCACAGCTGGCGGTCATGAGCACATCTTTCCGCCTCTGCCCCTCACCTGCCCCCAGTGTCCCTGTGGGTGTCACTGGGGTGGGGAGGAGGTATGTGAATCACAGGTCTCTGTGGCTGCTAGACGGAGCTAGGGGCCAGTGTAGCTGGAGGGTGTGGGTACATGCCTCAAATCGCTGCAGTCTGGGAGGCTGAGGCAGGAGGATCTCAAGTTTGAACCCAGCCTGGACAACTTAGTGAGACTCTGTCTCAAAATGAAAAAGGGGGTCAGAGATTTAGCTCAGTGGTGCCATCTGCCTCAAAAGCATAAGGTCTTGAGTTTGATCCGTGGTACCAAAAAAGAACTCAAAGTAATAAAAAATGGGCTGGGGATGGAGCTCAGTGTAAAGGGTTCAAAATCTAGTGCTGCAAAACATAAAAATAACTTAATTGGAAAGGCCCCTGGGGGTCTGGCAGGAAGTTGGCTCATGGGGGCGCGAGCTGCAGACTTGGGGTTCCTCTCAGAAATCCAGGTGGCTTTGCAGCCTGGCTGAGCCATCCCAGCAGGCTAGGGGGCTGCTAGACCTCTGATCTGATGCCTCCCACTTGGAAGCCACAGGTGCGTTGGTCAGGAGCCGAGGTGCCTGGTAGGGCGGTCGGAGCTTGTGGCCTGTTAGGCCTGGCTCTGTCCCTGGCCCCACAAAGCTGAGAAGCCGCTGACGTGCAGGACAGGGACGTCCGGGCCGAGCAGCGAGGGAGTGCTGGGAGTGTGTCCTTGAGACCTCGTCCCTGGCCCTCTCCTGGCCGCCAGAGCTGGGGTGACAGGGCCCCGTGTCCCTGAGAGCCACCCTGCATGCAGACAGACCTGAGCAGAGGGGGAAGCGGGGAAGGGGCCAGGTGTTTGGAGTTCTTGATTCTGCATGGTGGTGGTGGCTTTTGTCCTGGACCGGACCCTGGAGGAGCCAGCCTGGGCGGCGCTCACTGGAGACTGGGCCTGGTCCCTGTGGGAAGTGCGGGTTCTTCCTGGGCCCAGGGGCCTTGGTCTGTTGTGCCCGTGCTGCCCGCGTGTGGCCCGGGGCGTGGCCATGTGCGTGCTGGGTGCCCAAGCCCCTCAGTGCGGCCCGCGTTCCCTCAGGAGCAGAAGTTCTGCCAGCGCTATGACCAGCTCATGGAGGCCTGGGAGAAGAAGGTGGAGCGCATTGAAAACAATCCGCGGCGCCGTGCAAAGGAGAGCAAGGTGCGGGAGTACTACGAGAAGCAGTTCCCGGAGATCCGCAAGCAGCGAGAGCTGCAGGAGCGTATGCAGAGGTGAGCCCCGGGCGAGCCTGAGGTCTTCCTGCCTCAGCCTCCCGGCCTGCTGGGCCCGCAGGCATGCACCACCAGGCCCAGGGGTTCTCACTTCTTACCCTGGTTATGGGAGGAAACTGAGGTGCTGAGACGTACTCCGACTCTGGTGAGGGGCAGAGCTGGGGTGGGAGCTCAGTTCCGTGCCGGGTGCGAGGCGCCAACCTGGTACCCCTTTTGGCCAGGGCAGGTCCTGAGTGTGTCCCTTTGGTCCCCAGCAGGGTGGGGCAGCGCGGCAGCGGGCTCTCAATGTCGGCTGCCCGCAGCGAGCACGAGGTGTCAGAGATCATCGATGGCCTGTCGGAGCAGGAGGTGAGGCCTGCCGGCTGTGCATCCCCATCCCGGCAACCTGTCCAGTGACGTCCTGGCTGCAGGCAGCAGGGGCCCGGTGGGAAACTGGATTTACCCTAGGAGGGGAGGATGCAGCCTGCAAGTCCCTGACCTGCCTGTTGCCTGTGCTGGGGGTCAGCCCCGCCTCTGGCTCCACCCCTTAGCCCTTTTCGGTGCTTCCTATTGGCTGATCGCAGGCAGTGCCTGCAGGTGGGAGGGGTTGGGGTACAGTGATTGACAGCCACCCAGGACCCCTTGCTGGGGCATTCTCACTGGCGCCTCAGTCCTGGGCTCCAGCCTAGCCATGGCCCTGCCCAGGGGCGCTGGGACACCTGGGGTCAGCCAAGGTGACCCTGGCTGTGGTTACTGGGCCAGACGGCCAAGAAGCAGCGAAGTAGGATTCCCTAGAACTGGAACAGGCCTCTGCCTGTCTCCTGCCAGTCTTATGGATCATGTGACCAGTGTGACCTTTGTCCCCTGTGCCCCACACCCAGGTGGCTGCAGGAAGCCATCTATGCAGGCGCAAGGTGCCTCCTCCCTGAGGGCTGTTCAGGTGGGAGGGTCTTGTGGCTTTGGCCTGGTCCAACCAAGCTCCCTGCAGCTGTTAACATTGAAATTGATTGAAATGCAGTCCAGGAAGGCTAGTTTCTCCATGGAACAGGACGTGCGGGACAGTGCAGGGGACCCCTGCTCTCGGCAGGGCATCCGCTGGCCAGTGCTTGCTCCTGACGCCACCCTTGTTCTGGTTAGGGCAGGGGTGTCAGCCTCACCACAAGGAGGGGTGGGCAGAGGACAATTGCTGTCTTGTCTGCTCTTCGGGGTCCAGCAGCCACTGTGTACCCTGGAAAGGCTGGGAGGGCAGGGAAGTCAGAGGCCACAAGCTAGGCTTCCGATGCCCTGGGTCCCCCAGCAGCCAGAGCGGGGCCCCTCTGCACCGTGGCCGGGAGGCCTTTGCTGCGCCAGGAGGTGGGGTGTAGGCAGCTGGGCAGCAGGACAGACCGGGCCGCCCTTGGCTGCCTCCCGAGCAGGTTGTTAATCACCACTAATTGGCGATCCCAGAGACCCGGCGCCTCCCAGGGTCATCCCGACGCGGGCAGATCAGAGGAGCTGGCGCTGGGGCCAGGGTGGCAGGAAGTGGTCCTGTGGTGTCCCCAGGCTCCGGCCGAGCCCTCTTCCCGGCCCGGGGCTGCTCCCTTCTGCTGTGTCCCCGGGCATCTGGACCCCAGCTGAACCTGCCCTGGCCGCTGTGCTTCACGGTGCTCATCTTCGTGAGGGGAACATTCGCAGCTGCTCCGGCTGCACGCGGCTCACGCACAGCCCACCCTCCCTGCACCGCCGCCGCCCCTCCTCCCGTGCCCTCTGGGCCCTCCCGC